ATTGTTATGATAGCTAAATAGAAATAAATATTTGCCAAAATTCATTAGTTTGTTGGTTAAATGGATTAATGTTATTAATGTTATTGTTTGTTACTTGTGGCTCAATACATTTGCTAAAATATTCTAGCCAAAATAAAATCTCAACAAAGGGCTAAATTTGACCTGAGGATGGGAAGGAGTTAGGTGGGACATGGCACAAGTACTAATCCACTATTTAATGCATACAATACTGGTATCTAATAAAAATGGTTTATAGAATGAATTAAATTCCTCTCATATATTTAAAGTTGATCATGCTGATTTACAATCAGAAATATAAGTCTAATACCTTGGATTTTAAAAAATTACTATTGCTATCATTTGTTATTATATTTTAGTTTTCAAAAGTAAGAGATTTGGTTGTAATCGACTTCAAGGTTATTATCTGGATGGAAGGCAAGGCATTTTCTCCACAAAATATAGCTAGTCTATATGAGAATAAATCCAGCTATATCACTTTCACATTTCCATCATACCCAACCACCTAGCAAATGAATATGATAAAGCATTTGAGTGTTTTCTATACATAAAGCCCATGCACCAAGTTTAAAAATCCTAGTTTTTGAAGAGATAGTCAATGTAATAACAACAACAACATAGCAATAGTAATTATACAAAAAAGACCAAAGTTGTAGGTGTGTGGGTGGGACCAGGCACCGAGAATAAAAATACTAAGTAAACTACATTTTCTAGAGCCGCTTCTCTTCTACTGTGAGCCCTCTTGATTGTTTTTTTCCCCCTGATTACTAGACTTATAGGAGCTTGTTTAGATCTATTTTTGTATCTCTCAGAAATGTTTTCAGTTGAAGACAATAGAAACTCATTCATAAAGTGGGAATATTTAATTTTTTTCTTAACAAGGAGTCTAGAAGAAGATAGTCCCAAGGCTTGTGGATCCACAAAGTTATGAAGAACTCATACATTTATTTTTCCAGTCTACCACACTAAACGTATTAACTTTTATCTGTAGGCTTTTTCTTTTCTTTCTTTTTTTTTTAATCATGAAGTCTTGCTCTATCACCCAGGCTGGAGTGCAATGGCATGGCCTCAGCTCTCTGCAACCTCCACCTCCCACATTTAAGCGATTCTCGTGCCTCAGCCTCCCAAGTAGCTGGGATTACTTGTGTGCACCATGTTGCCCAGCTAATTTTTGTATTCTTAGTAGAGACAGGGTTTCACTATGTTGGCCAGGCTGGTTTCAAATTCCTGCCTTCAGGCAATCCGCCCACTTCAGCCTCCCAAACTGCTGGGCATGAGCCACTGTGCCTGGCCTGCACTATTTATTTTAATTTCTTTTAGGTTTACAGGAAAAGTGGTTAACAATTGATCTACAGGCGTGAGCCACAGCACCCAGCCTTATCCTTAGGCTTTTGGCTGCTGTAGCTCCAACACATCCTCTGGTGGTGGTGGTAGAGGGGTTGAAAAGAATCGCTGGGCATGGTGTCTCATGCCTGTAATCCCAGCGCTTTGGGAGGCGGAGGTGGGCGGATCACCTGAGGTCAGGAGTCAAGACCAGCCTAGTCAACATGGTGAAACACTGTCTACTAAACGACAGAGCAAGAAGAGCAAAATTCCATCTCAAAAAAAAAAAAAAAAAAAAAAAAAAGAAAGAAAGAAGAGATCACAGTTCTTCTGGTACTCTCTCCTGTTTACCAGAAAGAAAATCTTTAATAGAAAATATTCCCAGCTGGGAGGCCAAGGCAGGAAGATCACTTGAGGCCAGGAGTTCAAAACCAGCCTGAGCAGCATAGCAAGACCCCATCTCTAAAAGAAAGAAACAAGAATTATTACACCCAAAGCGGACTTCTGCCTACATCTTATTGGCCAGAACTGGGACACATGCTGACCCCCCAGCCAAAGGGAATGGCATTGTGATGCTGGTCCTAGATTAATTATGATTTTCTCCTGGGACTGGGAGGTGGGCCAAGTTTCTTAAATTTGTTGCCACCTCTCTCTTCCGCCCCTTCTCTCCCCACCCCAAAATAAGGACTTGTAACTATGGAAAAAGTGGGATAGCATTCTACAGATGCATAATAATAGCATCTGTTAAAATTTTCAAAGCAATAATCCAGGAAGATAAAGCACATTTTTCTTTCCAGGGAACTTACTGCCTTACACGAGAATCTTATTCTCATTTGCTCCATACTTTAGCTTCCAAAGCCAACCAGATTTAAACAGTGGAAACAAAAGATGAATTCAGCATTTATGTATTTTATATAATTCCATTTTAACAAAACTTAACAGTTTAAATAAGATTTAAGTAAAATTTCAGCATTCCCAACTCCTAAATATTACTCACCCTCACATGGCGAAACGTATATTTTCACAAATAGGTTTAGACCTACACAGTAATCAGTAATTGTGTGCTCTGTTTTCTCTGCTGCAGCCCAGTAGAAATTACACTTATCAATTGCTACTATTTATGTTTTTCCTTCATAGCCACTTGTATTGGTAATCCTGCTAGGTTTTGTTTTCATGTGAAGTACACACTATAATGAACACTTTTAGATACTATGAGAAGAAAATTAAGTGAAAAATTTAAGCAAAGATAAAACAAAAATTATTGTTGCGTTTAAACAGACTTTAAGTTGGGGTAAAACGTGGCAGCCTGAAGGTATATTTTATTTTTTCAGCAAAATGTTTACATGTTTTTCAATTTTAAATCCCTTTAGGTGGTCTTGTATTCTTCAGTTTGACACAGGCCCCTCTAACCTGTCTTGTAGCTGACATCCAAGCACTCATGGACTCTTTATCCCAGTAGGCACTTGAATTTGCCAATCTCTGCTTTGTCTGGATAAACCAAGATTAATAATAAATGAATAATGTTTTCCTATTTGCAGAACTCTTTCGACTGGCTTCCAAAATGATCTCTAAAATGAATAATGAACTTTTCTCCAAGACAACTACATTTTTGGCATGCTGGTTTAAAAGGTTTTGGCTGACCTTTTGTCGGTGAAAGCCTCTTCTAAATAGGGGAGAAGGTGGTATCAGATCTTTGATTTATTTGATGAAGTTGTGTTCCCAGCCATATTGGGTAATTTTGCATTATGAAACTGTGCATACTTCAAACAAGTTGAGTATTCTTTATTTTAAATTATTTGCTTAACACCAGAAGTGTTCTGGATTTCAATTAAAAAAAAAATTGGAATATATGCATTATACTTAGCAGCTGAACATTCCAAATCAGAAAAATCCCAAATCCAAAATGTTCTTTGAGCAATTCCCCTGAGTAACATGTCGGTGCTCAAAATGTTTCAGATTTTGGAGCATTTCAAACATCAGATTTTCAAATTTGGGATGCCTACTTGTATTTATATAGATATTTTCAATTGTATATTTTAAAATATGTTTTAAATTTAAAAGACTAAAACGCTTAAATAATTTTAACAGCTTATATATGTTATTTATATAATATATTAATATAAAATTAATTTTATATAAAATTAATATGTTACATATATTGATATGTTTTATATATAAATATATAAAAGTATATGTATATCTATATTTTTCCAGAATTGCTTTTACAAAATCTCAGAATACTTTATAAGTATTTTACACATAATTTATAAAATATTATTTTCTATATAGTATAAAAAATTCACACAGTCTCACAGAATGATAGAAGGAAATTCACACATACTGTCTAGGGTATTAAATCCCCAAGACTACATTCTCCTCTTAATAAAATTGACCTTTGCTAATGTTAAAATTTTTTTTATTTAATACTTTAGGAAATAACTGTGCAATATTTTAAATGAATGAAAGATTCTGGGAACTTGGAAAGAAATGTTAAGCATTCCCACGTTTTTATTCATGTGAACATTGCCTCATAAATCATTTTTATGTTATTGTGTTTACTAATTGTGTGGATTTATTCAAGTTCTTTCTGGCTAAAATAATGGTGAGCTACCCATGTTTATAATAACTACTTTCCTGTCAGCCTGTAGTAGTTTACTATTATGTTACTCTGATTATTATTTTTTCTCTAATTCCCATCTTCTTTACTACTAGTTCTAGCCTAGTCTGCTTGTATTTCCTCCTCCTTTATTTGTCTAAAAAGATAAACAAGCTTTAATTTGCAAAGCGCGTGGGGAGTTATGAATACACAATGACCTCTCAAGAACTTGTCCAATGCCAATATTCCTGCAACAAATCTTAAAATCTTGTTAGTGTCATATTATTAACATTTATTCTAATATGCGTCCTTAACAGTTAAAATGATAGAACTAGTTGAAATAGCAAATAACATTTGAAATATTTTTCTGAGATATAATGCAAAGGATAATAAGTATAAAGATAACAACACACTCTGAGTTAGTTGTTTACAACCCTGACTGAACATTGAAATTGCCTGGGGAAGATTTTGAAATTACTGATGCCTAGATCTATTGCCTTGAAATTCTGATATAATTGGTCTGGAGTGCAGCATGGACATGAGATGTTTTTAAAACTCCCCAGATAATTCTAAACTACAAGTAATGTTGAGAACTACTGGTCTCAGACTATATCCAGATTGTGTTATTAACCTTGACTACACATTAGAATCAATGGGTGTATTTTAGAAACATAGCTTCCCAGATTCCAGGTCCAGAAATTGAAATTCTATTTTTCTGGGATGGAACCAGGCACTGTTTTTCTTGTGTGCCTTGATTTTAATGTGAAGTTAAGGTAAGAATTATTGCTCAAGAAACCAAGAGGTTTAACATCACAATATGGGAGGGTATGATATATTATCATTGTGGTTTTTTTTTTAATTGTTGTTTTATTGATGACAAACCATAACCTTGGCCTGCTAGAAAAGTTCAATGGCACAAATTTAGTTTTTTACTCATTTATTTTTTTTTTAGACGGAGTCTCGCTATGTCGCCCAGCCTGGAGTGCAGTGGCACAATCTGGGCTCACTGCAAGCTCCAACTCCCAGGTTCATGCCATTCTCCTGCCTCAGCCTCCCAAGTAGCTGGGACTACAGGTGCCCATCACCACACTCATCTAATTTTTTTGTATTTTTAGTAGACACGGAGTTTCACTAAACCCCATCCTCTATGATTTGTTACTACATGATTTGTTACTACTCCCATCCTCTATGCTGTTTGGGTGAAGGTGGGTGACATCAGTGAATCTGACTTGCTGAACCTGAGGAAACTTCACAGCAACTTGGAGGGACACCCTACCCCCCGACTGCCATTTGTTGACATGGCAACAGGGTCCCTAGGAGTGCTGCATGTGGAATGGCTTGTACTGGCAAGGACCTTGACAAGGCCAGCTACTGGCCTTGTCTGTGCCAGGATGGTCTCAATTTCCTGACCTTGTGATCCGCCCGCCTTGGCGTCCGAAAGTGCTGGGATTACAGGCGTGAGCCACAGTGCCCGGCCCACAAATTTAGTTTTTTAAAGTAAGTAACTTTGTTTTAAAAATGATTTGTAGTAACAGTCGTTAAAAGATAAACTGAGGCACATTAAAATATTAAAGCATTTATTTAACCATTCAGTGATTCACGAATCTGGTAGCTCCTGATGAAGGAGCCAAGGAGAAGGCTTTTATAGGGTAAATTTGGAAACAAGGGAAAGATATTTAATTCGTTAAAGCGGAGTTACTAGCCTTATTTGGGTCATCCCAGTGGAAAGTCCCTAGTTAGAAGTTAGCTGGCAGTTTCTGATTGATTAAGCTTAAATTTCCTTTTTATCATTTATACTGATTTGGGTTTCCTTTTCTTAGGTAAGAACTCAGTGAGCTGAAGCTACGTCAGCCTACTGGCCTTCTAATTATTTCAACACAGAAATAGTACTTTAGGGCACACTGGAGTTGCAATTCTCTTCTGCCATTGGGTGGTTTCAGATTTGTTCTTCCTGCACATTTGGTCAAATTAGTCATTGTATTTCTATAAGTCTGAGATTCAGATATTTAGTTTCTCTGAGAAAGTCTCTGTTGAGACAGCATTGTCATGCTGGTCAGATTGGAAGTGACTTTGGATCCTTTCTGTTAATGTTCTGATGTAAAAGAGTGATGTCTCGGATATAGTGTTAATGCATTAAAAAAGCACAGCCTCACAAATAGCTTCCTATAATACACAGAAAAATGTACAGTTTTGAATTTATAACACAGGGAAAGGTAAAAAGAAATTTAATTATGCTTACTAATGTTGAACATGCAAGTGACCAAGTAAATACTAAAAATCCATTCAGCTGGGCTTGGACAGAGAAGGGGAATGGTGCACAGCAGAGGGGGCAGACGACTGCGACGCTTCCGCTTCCTGGGTCTCGCGGGAAGCTGCGTTGTGGGCGCTCCCGCTGGTGGCTGAGCTCAGGCCTCCAGGCAGAGGCGAGGCGAGGGCGGGGAGGTCACGTGACAGCACTGCTCCGGTGGGTTGTGGGAGTGCTGCGGCGCCATTTGCTTTGCCAAACCGACAAAAGAGAGATCATGGCCAACGACGCCAAGCCTGATGTGAAGACTGTGCAGGTGCTGCGGGACGCCGCCAACCGTCTGCGGCTCCATTCCATCAGGGCCACGTGTGCCTCTGGTTCTGGCCACCTCATGTCGTGCTGCAGTGCAGCGGAGGTCGTGTCTGTCCTCTTCTTCCACACGATGAAGTATAAACAGACAGACCCAGAACATCCGGACAATGACCGGTTCATCCTCTCCAAGGGACATGCTGCTCCCATCCTCTATGCTGCTTGGGTGGAGGTGGGTGACATCCGTGAATCTGACTTGCTGAACCTGAGGAAACTTCACAGTGACTTGGAGGGACACCCTACCCCCCGACTGCCGTTTGTTGACATGGCAACAGGGTCCCTAGGGCAGGGATTAGGTGCTGCATGTGGAATGGCTTATACTGGCAAGTACCTTGACAAGGCCAGCTACCGGGTGTTCTGCCTTATGGGAGATGGCGAATCCTCAGAAGGCTCTGTGTGGGAGGCTTTCGCTTTTGCCTCCCACTACAACTTGGACAATCTCGTGGCGGTCTTCCACGTGAACCGCTTGGGACAAAGTGGCCCTGCACCCCTTGAACATGGCGCAGACATCTACCAGAATTGCTGTGAGGCCTTTGGATGGAATACTTACTTAGTGGATGGCCATGATGTGGAGGCCTTGTGCCAAGTATTTTGGCAAGCAAGTCAAGTGAAGAACAAACCTACTGCTATAGTTGCCAAGACCTTCAAAGGTCGGGGTATTCCAAATATTGAGGATGCAGAAAATTGGCATGGAAAGCCAGTGCCAAAAGAAAGAGCAGATGCAATTGTCAAATTAATTGAGAGTCAGATACAGACCAATGAGAATCCCAGACCAAAACCGCCTGTGGAAGACTCACCTCAAATCATCATCACAGATATAAAAATGACCTCCCCACCTGCTTACAAAGTTGGTGACAAGATAGCTACTCAGAAAACATGTGGTTTGGCTCTGGCTAAACTGGGCCGTGCAAATGAAAGAGTTATTGTTCTGAGTGGTGACACAATGAACTCCACCTTTTCTGAGATATTCAGGAAGGAACACCCTGAGCGTTTCATAGAGTGTGTTATTGCTGAGCAAAACATGGTAAGTGTGGCATTAGGCTGTGCCACACGTGGTCGAACCATTGCTTTTGCTAGTGCTTTTGCTACCTTTTTTACTAGAGCATTTGATCAGCTCCGAATGGGAGCCATTTCTCAAGCCAATATCAACCTTATTGGTTCCCACTGTGGGGTATCCTCTGGAGAAGATGGACCCTCCCAAATGGCTCTGGAGGATCTAGCCATGTTCCGAAGCATTCCTAATTGCACTGTTTTCTATCCAAGTGATGCCATCTCAACAGAGCATGCTGTTTATCTAGCCGCCAATACCAAAGGAATGTGCTTCATTCGAACCAGCCAACCAGAAACTGCAGTTATTTATACCCCACAAGAAAATTTTGAGATTGGCCAGGCCAAGGTGGTACGCCACAGTGTCAATGATAAAGTCACAGTAATTGGAGCTGGAGTTACTCTCCATGAAGCCTTAGCAGCTGCTGACCATCTTTCTCAACAAGGTATTTCTGTCCGTGTCATCGACCCATTTACCATTAAACCCCTGGATGCTGCCACCATCATCTCCAGTGCAAAAGCCACAGGCGGCCGAGTTATCACAGTGGAGGATCACTACAGGGAAGGTGGCATTGGAGAAGCTGTTTGTGCAGCTGTCTCCAGGGAGCCTGATATCCTTGTTCATCAGCTGGCAGTGTCAGGAGTGCCTCAACATGGGAAAACTAGTGAATTGCTGGATATGTTTGGAATCAGTACCAGACATATTATAGCAGCCGTAACACTTACTTTAATGAAGTAAACTAAGCTTATTTCTAAAAAGTCAAGTCTATTGGCTTTGGTTCAAAAGCAGTGCTATCTTTGTATTAAATTCATGCTTATTGCTACAAAGCCATTATTTATACCTATACAGTTGTACTGTTTCTTTTAAAGCAAAGTCATTTAATATCTTTCTTCATTCCTAAAGTTTACCTTTCTGTTAATCTATGTATAAATGCTACTCTGAGTTATTAATGTGGATTTTAAAATTGTAAGCAATAGAATAGGAAATAAAACAACTATCTAATACAAATATTTCTGATAAGACTACAAATATCTGATTGAGTTGAGGATTAAGGTAGAGGTAACTATATCTTAAATGAGTATGATTTCCTTGTAAGTTAAAAAAATTGAAATTTAATTGTAGACTTCAATAGTCAAAGTTTTGAAGGCTGTTTGAGCTTTTGTATAATGCCATCCTATACCTGCAGTTTTACAAATAATATTTGACTGCAGTTGCCTTGGAAATTCCTCTAAAGTTTGCCTTCATCTCCCCTCTACAGTTTGGAGGTGATGGTGCAGCAGTGAAAGCTCTTATGATGCACCACACTGCTTGTGGTGTTCTGTGAAGAGATGAAAGTATAACTGGTTCTAGTTTGCACACTACACACATAGTTTTGTGAAGCTTCAGAAATGTTTTGTTTTTTCCTTGTGGCCAAACCAGATTGTTAATCTGATTATATTAATCTACTAATGATACTAAAGTCAATATAATAAAGCATTTAAAAATCAGATACTTTAGTCTGTGCTGTGTATGTGAGATTTGATTTCTTCCTGATGAAATCCTAAATAAAGGAGAACTTGTGTCTAAATGAGAAGCAGAGAGAGTCATGTCCCCCAGAAGCAAACCTGGAAAAAGGTTGAAGCTGTAGGTAAGTTACTAGAGAAGATTGTATGAACTAAAAAGGCATCCCTTAAGCAGACTCTCGACTGTTGGCTGTGAGTGTGTAAATATATGCTTGGAGTACAAGAAAGTACCAGTCAGGCAAATCATAGAAGGACCCAAGGTTCCACACTAAATTAAAATTACTCTGTGTCTATGTCAGGTAATTATTTCCTTATTTTTATTACCCTCATTAAGTTCTTTGGAGGCATAACAAATTTGTCTCAGCAATCATTGTCTTAGGAGGAATAATAGAGTCAAAAAATATCAATACTAACCTGGGAATTAGAGAAACCAGGCTCTTCTCATCTACTACTACCTGTTTTCTCTAAGCTGATTTCCTCTTTTGTAAAATGATTGTGAAAATTGCTCTGTTTTTCATAAGATTTAAAAATTACTTTGTAGAAATAAAAAGTTGATATAAAATCATTGTAGAAATTTAGAAAATGCAAATAAGTAAAATATATTTACCCCACATTTCACACACAAAAAAATCCATTTAATTGTATTTACTGGCATGTGTTCTGTACATGCTATGAAAGTGGGCACGTAAAATTATCTGTTTCCAACCAAACATGCATAAGCAAACCTTTAATAATGACAGTGTATCAGGTTCTTTATGTCTAATGGAATCTCAGACACCACCAGAAATTATATATATTTTTTGTAGCAGGGTGGGGAAGCCCTTAGCAATCTCTCCTGTAAAGACTCTGTTTCACAGGTTATCAACAATAGGCTATGAGGTCCAGAGAGAAGAAATAGCAGGTGAGTCTTATGTCCACAATTCTTCAAGTAAGAATCATATCCAGTTTTGTTATATTGAATGTTCTCTAGCTTTGAATCTGTCCTGAGATCTTTTAAGTGTTCATGGGAATCTTAGGAGAGAATCATCTGGACAGATGCTAACCTTTGACTGCTAAAGTTTATGAAGATGTAGTTTTGATGAACAACATGATCACTGGTTTAACTCTGGCCTTCTATTCATTGTTTTTGCTGTGAAGGTCTATTAGATTATTAATAACCTGGTGATATTCCAGGGACAGTTGTTGACACCGGCAGCTGCCTTGCTTATGTTTACAGTTCTAAAGGCTGCAGTCATCTGAGAGTGACAGTGATCATTTACATGGTGAATGGCTCCCTGGTCATTTCCTGATTTCTATGACCCTCAGAGATAGCAAAAGAAGGAATCAGTACACTGAACTTTCATTTTATGTTACCTTATTTAAATATATCAAAGACTCTTAAGCTACATGGAAATTCAATGGAGAGCCCTATTTGGGAAAAAATATAATTTTTTAAAAAGTAAGACTCAATATATCTGATTTTAAAATTATGTAAGAGTAATGTGAAATACTCACTGAGTTTTAGTTCTCTCAGTTTGCTGAACTTTACAGGAATCACCAAATTCTCCAGAGTCCAATCAGAAAGGGGTTGATTTGAGAAGCTGAGAAGTATTGAACTGTTTTGGTAGCCTTTACTATCATGGTATGGAAGAAAGGTCCTGCCACATTTTTGTGGTAGAATGGCAGAGTGTACTGTTCTTAGAGGGAAACTATCTTCTCCATCCTCCCATAAGAGAGGGGAGGAGGTACTGAACCAATTCCCTTTACTGACATTGGTAGGGGAGAGTTTCTACATGAGAATTGCTCACGAGGTTTGGCGTTAACACCAAGAAGGGGAGATAGGTATTTCATTGCAAGGTTGGATGTTGATTTAGACATGGGTTTGGTTTCCTGACAATAGATACAACGACTGGGTTAGAGCAGAACAGGTTGGCAAACACTGACAGTAGGAAAAATCTGTCACCACCTGTTTTTATATAACTATAAGATAAGAATGGTTTTTACATTTGAAATGGTCGAAACAATTAGAAGAGAAGTACTATTTCATGACATATGAAATTCAAATTTCAGTGTCCATGAATAAAGTTTTATTGGAACATAGTCATGCTCATTCAATTGAGTATTGTCTATGGCTGCTTTGGAGCTACAGTGACAGAGTTGAGTAGTAATAACAGTCACCATATAATCTGCATAGCCTAAAATATTTACAACCTGACTTTTTAGGGTAAAGGTTTGCAAACCCTGGGAGAGAGCACTGGGGAGAGATGAGGGTGACAGTGTAGACATGTGCGGGGGATAAGGGCTCACCCCTTGAGGTCCAGGTCTCAAGGCCACCTCTATATTTGACTACAGAGTGTTAATAAGATTGGAGGTTGCAGGCTTGTCAGAGATCACTACACTAAGAGTAGAGAGGTACATGCCTCAGAAATTCTGTGTGATGCCTGCAATTTGGGAACAATAGAAACGGTCCCCCAGAAAAGGACCACCAACTGTTAAAGAGTATCTACTTACTCTTAAACCCTTCGGTTGGGATCAGTTGGCTCTAAACCTTCCTGAGTTTTTACATAGATTCGCAGGGTTGTTTAACAGAGAGTGGGCAGTAATCTATTTGGAGAAACTGTAGAAACTATTGGGAAGAAAGATGGAGAAAAGTTGTAAGAAAACTCTCTTCAACTCTCACTGTTATAACAACGAGGGAGAGAGGGAAAATAGACTGTAGCCTTAAAAGGTGTATAGTTAAATTTTAATACAATAAAGCTGTTTTAATTACTGAAAATGAAAGTGTTATGAAATTATAGACAACATTAAAGGTAATTTATATATAATGGGTGGGATACAGGAAGTTTCAACAGAATACAGATGATAGAGGTTAATGTAAAAATAAAACTATTTTGTGATTGTGTATACCAGAGTTGAGTAACTGCAATCAAACTGGTTATCCTAAGAAGAAACATAATTCTTTGCACAATATTTTTACCTATTATAAATTTAATATTTGTAATATTGAAATATTTTTGTAATAAGTTCATAAAAATGATTTATGATAAGATTAAAACAAAACTTTATTTTTGTTTCCCTCTATCCCTTTAAAAGGAATTTAACGTAGGTAAACTTACTGTGGTTCTGAATGGAAAGTTAGAGAGATCCTGTGACTTTCCCATTTGCTCTTAGGTAGTAGAAAGTGCCATAGCTACTTTACATGACAAAAATCCAATCTGGATTCAGTGATTACAATGTGTCCAGCTTAACATATTAAGCAATGCTTGTCCTGACTAATATTAAGACTTTTGCTTTACTTTACCTGAGTAAAGAGCTATGGTTAGCAGCTGCTGAACCTCAGGAAAGGAAGTGTTGTTGCCTTCAGTTTCCTATTCCCTTCCTTTCTCCAAACCGCTACAACTTGCTAGCTGTAGTTGTAGACCAGAAAAGGGTTGGTAGGGGCAGAGGAGAGAGGAGAAATCACTCTCATTTGGTTGGAAGACTATATGTTCCTTGAGTTTTGAACATGGTTAAAGCTGGTGCATCATTGTACTTATATCTGTATTTTGCATATGCAAGTATTTCTGAAATTTAGAGAACCTCATCACTATGTCGTACATTAGAATGAATGCAAATGGTTAGAAGCAAATCTGACAGATATACAAATTTTATTTGCAAGAAGACAGAAAAGCAGCCATGCAATGCATTGTAAGCTCAGGTAAGTTGCCGCTCTGTATGGTGAGGCACTTCAACCAACACCCTGGATAAATGTTTGCTCCAAGAAGGGCATGAGTAGATTTTGTAAAATTCAAAATTATGCAGCAGCCACTATGGCATGGGCACCTACCACTAGAATGGGTGCGGACCTAATGGGAAATCTCCCTGCCTGAAAGGATGTTTTCCTTCCCTGAAGACGCATGACCACACAGAGCTCTAGACTTGGAGTATGGATTCTCTAAAACAGGACTGTTTTATTTTAGATGTCCAGATTCTTATGTCTCATGGCTTCAAATGGCGAGTGATATGCATACAGTTTCAGGTCAAACCAATATCATGGACACAACGTATTTTCCCAATTAAAAATTATTTTAATATGCTGATTAACAAAAATCTATATTATAAATTACAGATTAGTAATTTCAAAAGTAAACTAAGTATCCTAAGCATGTGTATGAAAACTAGCATACACACAGACATTCATTCACATATGTGTTAATCTTGTTAATTTTTGTAATTTTAGTAGAGATGGGGTTTTGCCACATTGGCCCGGCTGGTCTCGAACTCCTGACCTCAAGTGATCTGCTCGCCTTGGCCTCCTAAAGTGCTGGGATTACAGGCGTGAGCCACTGCGCCTGGCCTATCACACTTCTTATACTTAAGTGTTTTAAAGAAAATTACTAAATGAATAGTAAATGGTACTGTATTGTCATTTTAGAGATGAGGAAGCCAAAGTGCAGATAAATTATGTATTCAAAACTTCCCCAAGGTCACATAGCTGGCAAGTTGTAGAGCCTGAATTTAAGGTTATGTATCTCATATAGTTGTAACGATAATTTTGAAATATGTATTTCATTATCATCCCCATCATCACATATGAGAAAACTTACTCTCAGAAAGAAAATGTTACTTGTCTATTTGTTCCTAAAATTTATTTTTCAATTCCACTATACCTCTTTGCCTCCACATATTTGATTTTCCCCCTGAATTGTGTTCTCTATTTAAGTAGATTTTTTATGCAGTATAAATACTAATTTTATAAAGACAAACTGTTACAAAATAGCAATAGTGTGGCTCCAGCTTTACCAGTGTGACCAATTTCTGGAAGAACAGGAAAAGGAAGGGAACAAATGCAAATTTATTCTGGTGCCTTGGCATGGGTCCAGTCTATGCACACATACCCAACCTCTGCAACTACTCTCTAGGTAAGCAATTAATGCCAAATATGTGTTAGGTGTTCATTATATTACAAATCTAATTCAACCAGCTACAAGTGAATTTTATTTATTAGAACTAAAATGTATTTATTAGA